TATCCCCTTCCCTCCTCTGCTATGCCCAATACTCTGGTGCAGGCCCTCATCAACTTAACCCTGAACAACTGCAACAGCCTACTTGTGGGTCTGCCGTCCTCAAGTCCCATCACACTTTCAATCACCAAGATGATTTTCTGAAGTTCAGGTCTGACCTTGTTTTCTCTCTAGTTAATAAGCTCCAGTAGCTACCTATGGCCTCCAGGATAAAAAAAAAAAAAACTTTTGCCATTCAAAGCCCTCTATAACCTAGTCCCCTCCTTTTCAAGTCTCCTAACATTTTACTCTTTTCCACGTACTATTCAATCCAGTGACACTGTCCTAATGATGATTTTATGAACAAGACTCTCCATCTCTCAGTTCTGGGAATTTCCTCTGGCTGTCCCCCATTCCTGGATTGTTTTCCTTCCTCATCTTGGCCTACTGACTTCCGTGGTTTCCTTTAAATTCCAAAGAAAACCCCATGTTCTACATGACGCCGTTCCCAGCCACTCTTAATTCTAGTGCCTTCCCTCTTTGATTATTTCCTATTTATCCAGAAATCAGCTTGTTTATATTTGCGTACTTTTTGTCTTCCCCATTAGATTGTATGATCCTTGAAGGCAGGGATTGTCTTTTGCCTCTTTTTATATCTTCAGCACCTAGGACAATGGCTGGCACATAGCAGGTGCTTAATAAATGTTTATGGACTGACTGACTGCTCTAACCTTCTTTGGATCCTGACTCATTGATAGCTCTGTTTCATCTGAAAATTTGATAATCATACCATCTATGCTTTGTCAAATTACTGATAAAACTGTTAACATCACAGAGCTATGCATGGGTTACTTCATTTGACACCTTCAGCCATGTTTATATTAAACTATTAACAAATTCTTTTTGAAATCAGACATCCAAAGAGTTCTGAATCCATTCAGTTGTGTAATTATCTAATCTATCTCTCTTCATCTTCTTCATGAGAATAGTATGAAATTCTTTATTAAAGATTTTTTTTGTTGCCAAAATCTTAGCAAACAAAATGCAAATGTTTCCCTTATCTGTTGGTTTAGCAATCCTGTCAAAAACGAAATGGTGTCCATCCGTCATGCTTTGTTCTTGATGAAGCCATATTGCTTCTTTATAATCACTGCTTCCCTCTCTAGTTGTTTTCCAGCTGTCTGCTTAAATGGCATCAATACCTACTAGAACATAGCTAATAAATGGTGGATCCAGGATCAGAGACATTATCTTTGAACCTATTTTTTGAAGTAGACTGTTAAGTTGCATGCACAATTAGAGAAAATTTGGTGGCACAGTGGTTATGGAGTTAGGAAGACATGAGTTCAAATCCAACTTCAGACACTTACTGGCTGTGTGACTCTGAGTAAGGCATTTATTTTGCCTATCTCAGTTTCCTCCTCTATAAAATGAAGATAATAACAATGTCTGCCTCACAGGGTTGCTCTAAGGATAAAATGAGATTATATTTGTAATATATATTTTGCAAATATATTTTCAAAACTTAAGGTGCTATATAAATAAATGCTTATTATCATTACAATTTTTTGCAATTATAAGGAGGCATTAAATATAAGCATTACTATTTCTGTTTAGGTGTTATGCTCCCTATTAAGGGCTTCATATTTGAGACCCTCAAGTGACTTTTACTGTCACTTAAAAATCTTTTTTTTTTAAATAAAAGCTTGGTTTTCCTGGTTAACTGGCATCTATTTTTAAATGGCCTGCCTCAGGCTTGGCCAACGGCACAAAAGCAGAGTAGGTACCAGTCACAAGGGCAAGACTATACCAGTGGTGGACATTTTCTGTAAAGCCAATGTGGCAGCAAGGGCAAAATGCTCTTCTAGGGACTTAGAAGAAAAAAAAAAAGAAAAACAGTGATAGAAAAAGTTAGCAGCAAACTCCTCTTTGGCTTTATAGATAGTTGTATAAATAGAGATTGCGACACAGACATAATATCTTTATGTACTTATATGCTTAGGGGATAGGGACTAGACCTGTGGCTTCATCAATTTTGGGACCTCCCAGTAAGGAACTTCCTCTGCCAGTGCAGGTCAGTATCATCTTTACAACTTATAATTTTAGGGAGTTGGCCAAAATATTAAGAAGTTAAGTGATTGCCCAATGTTACATAGCCAGGATCTCTGAGAAGCAGGATTTGAAACCATCCTTTTTTAGCTCTGAGGCCAATTCTCTGTACTTACATATATCTGTCTCTGTCTCTATCACAATCCCTATCATCTCCATCTTTATCTAAATAATGCACTAAGTATACAGAGCACTTGACACAGCCCCTGGTACATGGCAACTATTTAATAAATGCTAGTTGCCTGATTGACCATATCTATATAAAAATATAATCAAATGTTTTTGATATATCAGGTTGTATATTTATATACACAGAGAGGTATTTACACATATACACATGTAGAGGTAGCTATGGTATGGCAGATTATAAAATATTATTTTTTTCTTTCTTCAGTCATTTCAATTGTGTCTGACTCCTTGTGACACCATTTGGGGTTTTCTCATTAGATACTAGACTTGTTTGCCATTTCCTTCTCCAGCTCATTTTAAAGATGAGGAAACTGAGGCAAACAGGGTTAAGTGACTTGCCTAGGGTCACACAACTAGTAAATATCTGAGACAAAGATACTAAAGTTGTTTGCCATTTTATTCTTCAGCTCATTTTTCAGATGAAGAAACTGAAGCAAACAGGGTTAAATGACTTGCCCAGGGTCAAACATCTAGTAAGTGCCGGAGTCCAAATTTGAACTCAGGGAGCTGTCTTCCTGACTCCAGGCTTAGCACTTTATCCATTGTACTACCTAGATTATAGTAGATAGAGTGATAGAATTCTGGGCTTGCTGTTCAAGAAGACAGGCTCAGATGCCTTAACTAATATTTCTAATTGTGTGACCCTGGGCAAATCACTTCACTTCACTTACGTATGCCTTAGATAATTGTCCTGGAACATCAGAATATAGAATTGTAGATTTAAAGCTAGAAGATCACCTAGTTCCTTCCTTCTTCACAGATGAGAATCTGAGGTCCAAAAAAAGTAACATGACTTGCCCAAAGTCTATGAGATAAGGAGGAGCAGAGTCATATGCTAAGTCATAATCAGGTTCTGATCTCCTTTGGTGGTAGGAATTAAAACATTTGCATGGTATGTATATTTACATGTATTTGTAGAAATTCTATATATGCATTGCATTTATTAAATTGAATTGTATATGTACGCACATGATGAATTTGCATGTAAGAAATATCTACATATATTCAACTCAAATAAAATTAACAGTAGTTTCAAGGTTCCTATTATGTTCATGGTACAGATAATATATGATCTACATGCTATGTCATTCTTACATTAGCTTGCAATTATACATTAATTACTGAATGTAAGATTTTCACAACTAAAGTTCTGTATTGACTATAAACATTTTCCCTTAGTTTTACCTTTATTGCTGAAATTTTCTAATTAATGTCACTAATGATTTTGTTTATCTTGTGGGGAAAAAAAACCAGCATCTGAGGGTCATGATCCTTTTTGAGAACAAGAACCCAAAAATAGACTAATTAAACAGAAACTATGAGTATGTAGGAGGTGTACATGTTTGTTGTCTGTTGTGTCCTTTTAAATCACAATACATATATTAACTTTTTAAGTTCAAATGACTTTTATTTATGTTTTATTATTAACTTAGGAAATGTTCTGTTTTGGAAGAAAAAATGTCCATTATTTAAACACTTGAGTTTTAGCATATTGAAATAGTTGCCATCTTCTAGAACTTAATATGAATACTTAAAAAATACTGAATAACTAAAAACTAATTGAGTAATATGTTTGCAGGTTCATAATATCCAAGATATAGCCACAGAGCAGAAGTTGGAATGAATTGGTACATTAAAAAATTCATTCTGATTCAACTTCTTCCTAACTGGGTTTGCTGCAGTCAACTTTGACTCACTGACTTGTATGACCTTATCCAAATTCATGGAAACCCTTAAGGCCATTCAAAGCCTATTACCTCAGACTTCAGCAAAGCAAGATAAACACAGACTTTGATCAAGTAGGATGGAATTTGATATTTCTCTATCCAAATCCCTCATAGTCCAATTCTCAAACCTTCAGTGTTTTCTATTTACCTTTCACTGAGTATTAGTCAGTTAATCAATTAATCAACAAGTAATTAAGCACATACTATAGCCTTGGTAGTCATTGTTGATGAAAAGTAAGAGAAACAGTGCCTGCTCTTGACAAGCTTATGTTCTAACCAGAAGAGACATTATGTACATGTATAAGTATATACTAAATATGTACAGAATTGATGCACCAACACAGTTGCACACAACAGGGCCAGGGCAGAAGCAGGTATAGTATAAAGAGCAGTGAACTATCAGTGGGAAGACTTGCAGGCAACCCTTGGGCCCTTCTTTACCTTTAGGAAGTCTTGTTACTTTGTGACTTCCCAGATTTGTGGCTTTGGGAACTTTGTGGCTTTATCTGTCTGAGTCTTAATTTCTACCTTCAATAAAATGAGGTTGTTGTAAAAAATTGTTGTTGTTGTTCATTCATTTTTGGGCATGTCTGACTCTTCCTGACCCCATTCGGTTTTCTTAGCAAAGATACTGGAGTAGTTCACCATTTCCTTCTCCAGTTCATTTTACAGTTGAGGAAACTGAAGCAAACAGGGTTAAATGACTTGCCCAGTGTCCCACAGCTAATAAGTACCTGAGGCTGGATTTGAACTCAGGACTTCCTGACTCCAGGTCCAGCGTATTATCTATTACAACATAAGACAGCTGTTTTTAGACAGTAAAGTTAACTTATTAAGTAACTATAATAATAATCAAGGCAGACTCTACCAGGAGTCTGGATCTAAACAATGAGCCGTTTAATTATTTTATTTATTGTTAGTCAATATTTTTCCTGCATTAAAAACTGCAAACCCAAAATATTATTAGAAGATAATACAATTTGGTTTTTGTGTCTCTAGCTAGAACATGTGGTTCCAACCTCCGTGGACCAAGTGGGATCATTACATCACCTAACTATCCAGTTCAATATGAAGACAATGCACACTGTGTTTGGGTTATCACTACAACAGATCCTGAAAAGGTACACCTTTTTTTTTGCTATTATTTAAATAATGACTATCCTTATTCTATCAAGCATTTAAAATAAACACATTATGAAAATGTAATGTCTTTAAAATATGTTGCTTGAAATGAAAGTGGTTGTCATTTACATACCCTTGATTACCTAGAGGTAGTTATAATTAGATAAATGTTCATAACATCACACCAAATAATGATAGTTTCTGGTGTACCCCACCCAATTTCCTATGATGCTGTAAGTCAATGTCTTCCTTTCACAGGTACTAACTCTGCTGTTGGGTTTCTTGCTTTTGTTTCTTGAGGCTTGTTCAATTCCTATTGTGTTGGAGTAGAACAACTAGGCGGGCATAGTGGATAAAGTGCCAGGCCTGGAGTCAGGAAGTCTCATCTTCCTGAGTTTAAATCTGGCCTCAGACACTTACTAAATGTGTAACCCTGGGCAAGTTACTTAACCCTGTTTGTCTCAATTTCCTCATCTGTAAAAATGAGCGAGAGAAGGAGATGGCAAACCACTCTAGTATCTTTGCTAAGAAAACCACAAAATGGGGTCACAAAGATTCAGACACAACTGAAAAATAAAAACAAAAAAAAAACTGAACAACAAACAACACTGTCTTGGGCTAAAGCCTTGCTTGAACATTCTAGTCAGAATGCAAATATCTGTCCTCTTAGAAATATACTAATCAATCCCTTGCACAAAATAGGCTGGTTGTTTACTGTTGTCTTTCAAATCATTTGGCTCTTATAAAAACTTCTATATAAAACCTTCACTAAACAGAATAAAGATTTAAGTAGGTTGATTACCTTCCTCCATTCTGTTCCCTGATGAAAAATGGTTAGGGATGTTTGGTTCACTTATTATATGGGCATTACTTTCTTTTTTAATCTTTAACTAGCAATCTGTTCTATAATACGTTGAGTTTTGAAGCCAGTTATGATGTTCGGTTTCTCTATGTGTGAAAGCATAGAGTAGGAAGGATGCTAATAACTTAAAATTTTTCTGCAGATTCTGGAAATGAACATTAGGGGTCAAGCTGTATAGAATGGTGTATTAAAGATCTTGCAACATGCTTCTAGCAGTATGCCCAGAGCAGGGTCGGTAAGATCAAATAGCTCACTGGCTAAGTGCTTAACTTTTCAAAGTAGAATGAGTACCTTCCAGTGCTTTGCTTCCCCATTTCTTCCTTTCCTCCCCGCTGGGAGCTTACTGATTATGTCCAAAGAATTGGATATTGGAATGGAAAGAGACCAAACAGACTCTAAAAGTCCAATCCATTCCTGAATAGGAATGACTTCTCCAAATGGCTATCCATCCTCTCTTTAAAGACCTCCAGTTAGGAGGAACTCCTTATCTTCCAAGGCAGAGATTTTACTTTTGAATAACTCTATTTTTTAGGAACCCTCCCCCCACACACACACAGCTTCAGGTTTCTGGATGTGATTGAAAAGGAAAATGAAGATGGAAAAGAGAAAAGTTTCTAACATTGAACATGGAAACTAACTTTCCATTGGTTTTAATGAATAAACAATACACACACACACACACACACACACACACACACACACACACAAAAGATTTGATTCAATCTCAAGAATTAACACATTAAAAGTACTATATTAGGAGGGTTAGCTCTACCTGCAAAATTGGAAAGATTTTGGATGCAAAGGATCCTTTTTTCAGTGAGACAAGAAAGCACAGGCTGAAATTCATTTTTCTTCGTACTTGAAGACAGTAGGGAGGCCTCAGAGCTCAGGGATAGGGGCAAACGTTAGAAATCAGAGTCTCTCTAAAGAATAGTACAAACAGACGCTTTGTATATAAATCATATAAGGGTAGGGAAGAAGTTCTGAATAGTTTAATAAACTCTGGTCCCAAGAAAGGGATAGAGAAAAAGAGAAAAGCGAAGTGGACACATCTCCTGGTAATACCTCCTGGATCATCTTATTGAGAGATTGCCACCTTGTGATTTATTATACAGAAGTGGAATTTCTTTTCCTTTATAGTTGCTGTTATGTAGAGATAGGATAGCATAGTGAAGAGATAGATGGAGTGAGAATCAGGGAGAGGAGTGCAAGCCTAGCCTCTGAGACATACCGGCTGAGAGCTCCCTGGCAAATCACTTAACCTTTTAGTGTCCCAGACAACTCTAAGTCTGTAAAAATAATGCTGAGTTTTTGCAGTTCTGCACTGGTAGAAGGAATTTCTGTGAAACTTCCCTGTGCCAGTGAAATTATAGATCTGACTTAAAGAAGAAAAATAATCTCTGCTACTCAGGTGGTACCGGGGTTTCCTGGCTATTTTGTGTGAAGAATTTCAGCTATCTAATCAATAATTTCCAGACACTACAGACTCAGCTGAAAGGCAAAACAAAACAAAAACAGATCATGCACAATGATGTCCTACACCTAAATTTATATGCATAGCAAGCTATTTAACAAAACTGATGCCCAACAGCCACAACAGGAATTTAAGGTAGAAAATGCTAGGAAAAACAAATAGCTTTTCTCAGTGCTTATTTAGATTCTGTCATTAAATGAGAGATTGTTTTCACTTTTATTGCACAGTTCAGATCCTCACTACATAAGATGACTATAGATAATAAAGTTGATGGTTTTTTATAGTTTCACATACATAATTTGCAATTATTATACTACAAATTAAGTCAAGAGCCCAGCAAGGTATGTTCATTATCTGGTTTCATTTGCTCTAAAATGAATTTCTTTGATTTAATCTAAGTGGAATAGAGACCCCTACCTGGGAAAGAAAAAAAAAACTTGCTACATTTTTGCGTTGATTGGATTTTTAAAAAAAATTATAGTATAATGTTCAGTGCTCTAATTGCCCTGAAATGAGTAATGTAGATGAATATATGTTTCTTCCTGCTCTAATTAGAACAAATACTTCTCTGTGTAAAACTGACATCTCCCTCCATTCTTAGATTCTACCAAAAATTTTCTTCCCTGAGATTCTCTGTTAAAAGTGAACTATCCCTCTTAAAATTTTCTTATCCATAGAATTTTTTTCTGGATCTGTTCTTTGCCCTTATCACATTCTATTTTATATCATATTTATTTGTATCATTTTTTCATCAAGTCTTTTATTTGGTAAGCTCCTTGTGTACAAAATGTCATTTTTTTTCATAGGATCATATGATTACAGAATCATAAGATTCAAAGCTTAAAGCAACTTAAAGATCAGTGAGCCCAATGACCTCATTTTACAGTTCAGGCAACTGAAGCACACAAAGGTGAAATGATTTGCCCAGGGTCATACAGGATTGAAGTAGTAGTCGAAATTCTTCTGTATCCAAGTCCACTGCTCCTTTCTATACACTGTATTGCTTTTCCTCTTTATTGTCTTAGTGCTGAGAAAGACTACATGGTAATATTGTTGTAGATAACTACAGTGCATCTGAAATTTTAAAAAATATATCAAATAAAATAATAGGGAGGGAATAAATATTTATTAAGTGCCTATGTCCCAGACAGATAGGTAGTACGATGGATAGCATACTAGGCCTGAAGTCAGGAAAATTAATTTTCCTGAGTTCAAATCGGGCCTTGGACACTTACTAGCTGTGTGACTCTAGGCAAGTTACTTAGTCCTATTTGCCTCAATTCCTCCATTTGTTAAATGAGCTGGGGAAGGAAATGGCAAACTACTCTAGTATCTTTACCAAGAAAACCCCAAATGGGGTCATAAAGAGACAGACACAACCGATGCAACTGACTAACAACAAAAGGGCTTATAAAATGCTTTATGTGGTAGGATGGTAAAGCAGATTGTGTGCTCAACTTCAAGTTAGAAAGACCTGAGTTCAGGTCTCATCTAAGACACTAAGACACAGAAAGATTGTGATGTTCCTGCAGTAATACAGCTAGTATTGCTGTGTTACTGCAAGAACATCACTTACTCTTTCTCTGCCTCCATTCCTTCATCTATAAAGTGCTGGAGTTGGAGTTGATGGCCTCTTCAACTTTCAGTCTGTGAACCTATGATTGTCTCATTTGATCTTCATCTGCAGGATTCTCTCTAGCTTATCAATGTCCAGTAATGGTATCATCATTCACATTTTACAAATAAGGAAAATGGGGTTGAGAGTTCATAGGATTATATATTCAGAACTAGAAGTGATATAGAGGCCATTGAGTAGATTTAAATGACTTGTCCATGACCACGTAGCTGGCAAATAGCAGGGTACGGTTCACACACAAATTTGACCTAACTTCAAATTCATTACCCTCTGTTACACTAGGTCTCCCTTTCCCAAAGAATATCAAATAGGACATTACATTACTCAAATTCAATGTCAATCATTATTTCCTGAATACTTCTGATATTAAGGTAAGTATGAAGACAACTCTCAGAAGTCTTTCTTGGACCCAGATTTCTAGAAAAGAAAATATAAAGCCTGCCATCATCAGTCAGGCAGGAATATGAACCTGTATATTACTTTTCTAAACATCAATATTATCCAATGGTTAGAGTTATTCAAGTTGTTTGTGATGAATCAGATAGCTTTTTTCCCTTTTGGTTAAAGAAAAGATAGAGTTTGATAATTTCTGCTTCTTTCTGTCTTCAGATACTATTGCAAGAGGTATTGTTATTAGAACTCTAGAAGAGGCAAATTTCTGTGAAGGATGCTGCATATTTCACCCATAGCATATAGAATTCCAGAGTTAGAAGTGACTTCAGAGGGAATTGACTCCAAGCCGTACTCAAAAAAATAATGTTCTCTATAACAATTGGACAATATAGGAGATAGAGTTCTGGCCTTATGATCAAGATAACTTAGATTCACATTCTGTCCCAAACTCTGAACAAATCATTTAATCTCTCATAAGATCTATTTCTTTGCAAGTGCTGGAAGTTAATGATGTAAACCATAAAAAGTATTATATAATACACGTTTTTTCACCTTTTATCTTTCTACTGCGCTCTAGCCTGACATCTCCTCTTGTCTATTTGGATATCCACACCTTGATGTGTTTTGGCATCTC